TGGCCAAATGCTTGTGTGTACTGACCCATCCAGAACAATACACTTTTTGCCCGCTGTCTAGGGGCCCATGTCAGGCATTAAAGGCGTTAAAAGAACATTCCCTTTTAACACCTGTGTATATGAGGCCTTACAAATATTGTGGCACCTTCAGCTTACCTCTCTGCAATGTTTCACAGACTCTAAAGAAGCGCAAGAGTTACACTAGGACTAAATCCCCAAAGAAATTAGCTTGAACAGGGGAGGAGAAAGCAAGTAAAAATACTTATTTTGTGACAAAAGGTACCATAGAACAGAGAAAATAAAATAATAAAAATGAAACAAAAACTACTTGTTATCACCATGCACAAAATACCAAAATTATATTTTTTTGTGAAATCCTGGCCACATCCATGCTGTCATCTAGGTCAAATTCACCATCAGGGTCAAGAACAGAGTCAGGGCTGCAAGGAAAAAAAAAAGGACATCAGAGCAGTTCTGCAGGAATTGCAGCACAAACTACAGTTACATAACTGCCAGTAGACCTTAGGTAGCAAACTACAAGGGGGAAGGAGTTATGGTTTCTGCTTGCCCTCTCTTTTTTGGCTCCTTCCTGCAAAACAAGATGCAGCGAAGGTTCTTTCTCTTTTTCCTGCCTTGTGCCATCAAAATATTTATAAAGAAGTGAAGTCCTCCAGTGCTCTTATTTTACACCAAAGGTCAGAGATAGAGAGCAGTTCATGATTCACTGAGCAGAATGGATCACCACTTTAGTACTGGGCTGACAAATAGGAAGGAGAGAAGGCAAGAGATTTCAGGAGACGAGCTCTTTGTTAGTGAAAGTGCTTCTTCTGCAACATAAGAGATGTAAGATTATTACATGACATCTTGTAATATATAAAGCCCAATATAAACATTCAGTTTATATCAGCTAAATACACTCCCGGTACATCAAAACCAAAGCTGTGGAACTTTTTACAAAGCAGTCACATCTTGTTTAGAAAAACATGTTCCCTGCCAGCATGCTGCGGAGAACTATCCTTTCTCTGTGCATAAAAGCAGTGATGTCTTGCAGCAGAGGTCCAACATGCCCCCTGCTAAGTCATAGCTAGAACTGTCCGTTCAGTAGGCAGTATGAGCACAAGATGGTCAGTCACGTTCACAGGGATGAAAGTGATGTGGGGTCTCTGCCAGGATAGCTCATGCAGAGTATTGGCCAACCTGGCACAGACCTTTCACCCCCAACTCTCTTGTATGTCAAACAGAATAAAACAAAATTTGTGGACTGCCTCCACATTGGCCCCCTGTGCTATCTCTCTCCCCAAGGTACAATATGTAGGAAAAAATAGGACAAAAAGGGGTTTGTAGAGAGATAAATACACCCAATGCATATGTAAAAGTTCAATCTATGGTCCCTAGTGTACAAAATTACATAAACCAATTCCATAACTAAAATATTTCTCAATAGTCCCAACGCGTTTCGCAACTTTAGCTTCTTCAGGGGACCGGTATTTGATAGTCATGCATAAGTAGTGCCTGAGGTAAAGAGAAATGTGCAACGGATCGAGATGATTGGGTGGGTGGAAAACCGCCGACCCCACACTCCGTCCCTTGTTGTGCCTGGGACCCCGGGGCATCAGGGGGAGGAGCGCCTGGAAAGCTTTTAATGTATAATAAATTCTGATTGAACTTTTACATATGCATTGGGTGTATTTATCTCTCTACAAACCCCTTTTTTTCCTACATGTTAAACAGAATAGAATGGGCATTCATCATTTCTGTAGAACAAAGTACAATCCATTGGACTCCCTTACAGCAGCAATTAGATTACAGAAGGAAGCGGGGATTGCTTTCCTAGTGTAGATGCAGACAGATACAAGTCAACAGTAAACTTTAGCACCAAAACTTAGAGGAAACACAAGAGTGTAATCTGACTGATACTCACTTCTGCGGGTACAGATTATAGTGTGATTGAGTACAAATTGCAGGGGAAGGTGCCTGGTCCATGTAGCTGTTTGATGGGATGACATCAGAAGCAACAAACCTTTACAGAAAGAAGAGCAATAGCTGAGTTACACATGCTGACAGCAAAGACTTTACTGTAATTTGTTGATGTAGATGTTTAAAATGTAGACCACCGCAGCCACAAAGGGGAACCAAGATCATCCTGAAGTACAGAAGTACAGATAATTACTTTCATATGTTATCTGAATACTGGTACTCTATTAAACGTCAACACCAACTTTAAATGAGCCTACAATGACCAATGCCGTACAGATGCAAAACCATTTTAACCAATATAACCACTGAAGCTGAACTTTATCCAAGCTACACATATTCTATTTTATTTTAGATGATCAAATATACTGTAAATGGTGTGCCAATGATTAATCTACCTGGCAGCTGTTGATGAGCCTTGCATATCATGGTTACCCCTGTATGTAGCAACGCTTGTGACTGTAATCAGTTTGACCCCCCAAAAGATTTGGGGGTCATAGTCGAATACAGAATGAATAAGATATATTGCAATTCCAGGCTGCAGCAAACAAAGCGAGCAGAGTACTGTCCTGTATTAGAAAGGAAATGTACTGTACAGACAAAGCGATAATTTTGCCACTTTATAGATCGCTGGTTCGGCCTCATCTGGAGTATGTGGTCCAGTTTTGGTCACCAGTCCACAGAAAGGATGTCCTTGAGCTGGAGAGAGTCCAAAGAAGGGCAACTAAACTAATTATTGGGCTGGAGGAACAAGGTTGCTAAATTTAAACATGTTCATGCTGCAAGTGAGGAGACTAAGAGGGGACATGATTTTGATGTACAAAATGTTTAGTGGTGATGGCAACATCAGCAACAAACCTTTTACAGTAAACTCCGTAACAAGGACTAGAGGCCACCACCTAAAACTGGTGAAGAAAAGATTTAACCACAAAGGGCGTAGGGGCTTCTTTTCAGTTAGAGCAGTTATATTTTGTAACTCTCTGCCACAAGCAGTGGTATCAGTAGAGAGTATTGAGTCAATCAAAAATCATTTAGATACTTTCCTCACAGACCATAACATACAGGGGTACAGGTACCCTTAAAAACTAGACCACACAGGCATTTGTGTACACACACAAACGCACAATCACACATAGGTTGAACTTGATGGACCTGTGTCTTTATTCAACCTCAAATACTATGCAACTCTCCTGCTCACTTCATTTCAAGCCCGTTTACTGACTTGCAGTCAATAGGAGAGTTGGGGTTGCTGGTGGCCACACTGATCATAGTTACAAGTCCTGCTACATACAGGGGCCAAGGTAGGTACAATAGTGATATACAAGGCCCGAGAATAGGGGACAAGATCTGCCATATTTTGCAAACGCCTTGTACATTAGTAGTAATAAGGCACACAAGTTACAATATTTTTCAACCAATTGAGGAAAAAAAAGTAGCTTATATAGAGTTCGGCTTTAATTGTTTTTTTTAAGATTTTAAAATTCAGGTTTTACTCTGAATATAGCATACATTTCCATGGCTCTTGGACCCCTAATGTCAATTTCAGGCTGATAACTCTTACAATAGACCATTTTAGGGACATGTAGTATCATTCTGGGTGTTGTACTTGAACGTTTATCTCTAGGCAAAGACATTTTTAGTTTTGGATTTAGCATAGAAAAGTTTTACATTTTTTAATTTCAGAGTTGTCCCCAGAACAACATCTTCCAACAGTGACGGGTGTTCCTGTTGTCTAAGTCTATTGTCTAAGGGGGGGGATTCCCTTTAGTTTGGAAGATTTGCTCTAACTTCCTGTTGTGTCTCTGGGACACAAAATGAATGGAAATTTCCCCAATGGTATACGGATAGTAGAAAATTGCCTGGCCCTAAGTCTAGGGCTCTGTCCATATCCCCCCCAAGAACTTCACTCTCTCCAAGCCACTTTTCTATTCATTTGGTCCTCACACACACTTAAATAACTGGCCGTTAACTTGACCAGGTCTTATGATACACTTTTTGCAGGCCAATTATCCTGGAATGTTAAAGACGCTCACAGATCTGGTTGGTCCTCCTGGACAATTTCTTGGTTTGGGAGAACAACCACAGTTTAGATGTCGCTGATCCCAAAGATTTTGTCTTTATGCCGAACTTCACCTGTCCGGGTTACCTCTTATTATTTCCTCCAAGCCAAAATGCTGCAAACCAGAGCACATTAATTTGTCTGGGATTCCACCAGACCACGGGTTACTAAGTCTACACGTTTTTGACACACATTTTATGGGGGATTGTGACTACCTAACTTTTGTAAATACTATCAGATGTCGCAAATAGTCTACTTAACGAAGTACAATGAAACCTGGGAAACTCCATTGTGGGTTGGTCTAGAAGTTATTTACTCTGACTAAATAATCACTTCTGGTCTGATCTCACCTCACACCCCTCTGTAACCTCATGTTTTATCTAGGCTTTGTTTCACTAAGTTCCTTTCAGATCTGGGAAAGATCAGTCATTACAAGAATTCACATACTGAAAGATGCCTCTGGTGTAAAGTCATTTCAAACCTTACACAAGCTGCACCTTGTGAAATCTTAGATATCTCCAGGTCAAACACTTCGTTTATAACCAAAAACACGGGGGGGTGTCTTCAAGTGCTCCCACTTTCTTTCAACAGAAGTGTCTGAAAGACCCACACTCCTGTGGTCTTGTTTCAATGTAGTAGTCAACAATTTTCGCCTTCGCCTGAGTTGGCAAAAATCATTGCACCGGCCCTGACTATGGATCCAACCCATGCTCCACTAAACCCCCCGGTTCCCTTCCCATCCCATCTTTTCCCCCCACCTTTCTAGCTTCTCTACCTTCCTCTCTCTTGAGCACTGAAATATTTATACCTTTGGTTATTGCTGTTTTGACTGATATGTATATCTACATACATTTAATGGATGTATATTTTTTTATTATACATCTTTATTTCTCAAATGTATCACACTCATTGATGATCTGTTATATCTGTTTATTGTTATGTATTTGTGATACTGTTAATAAAAATTCTTGAACAAAACATTTTTTTTTACCTGAGTGGGGTTTTAACCCTTCCCTATTGTATCCAAAATATACAAAAAAGTGTGGGCTATAAATACACTTTAAAACATACACTATCTAAAATTATAGAGAGCAGAACAAGATGAAACAGTCCCAATAAAACTTCAACAAATGCATTATACAGCAGAATATGCAGTGTATATATTTCCCTGCACAGACAATTACACGAGAGTTGTTAAGGTTAGTTTGCCTTTGACACACCGAAAATACCAGAACAGCAGGAAAATGACTGTACTTTTATAGCCATTATGTAACAATAGACTATTTTACTGGTGTGTGTGTGGCTGACTCTGCAATCAGTACAGGTAATGTAATAAGAGGAATATTGTTTGCCAGCTTACAGAATTCCTCTAACACTATTGTTTCTAAAACGACAACTTAACATAACCAAACTAGAAATGTAGAAACCTCTGACACTTTCTAAAAACGCTTGTACATATAGCATTACTGTGTCTCTGCCTGGTACATAAAGAAAGCTCTTGAGGGCCACTTTGTCACTGCGCCATGTGATCACTAGGTTGGTCTTGCACAGGGGAAAGGATGATGACTTCCACAATGCAGCGGCACCTGCAGGGACTGAACTATGAAATGGTATTATATTTCGGAATGGGTAACCATGGCATAACTTGGTCATAGACTAGCAGATGTATGACAAAGGGGCATTACACATGCTGGATTACCTGAGCCACTTCTAATTTTCCCTATTTTTTTTTTTTTTTAAGCTGTAATGCAGGCATGAATTGCACAAAAAGTATGCTTATGTTTCCTCTACAAAAAAATAAATAATCTGATGGTATAGAGATTTTCCAGCATTTGGAGATTGTGCTTCATCAGCTTCTTTTGGGGTCTCCAGGTGACATTAGGGGTCTAGAAGGGGGTTTAACACCCCAGATGTCAACTGGTTAATGGAATATTAAGTAATTATAACACATTGAAAGGATGGTTATCACTTTCTAGATATTCACTACTGACTACAGCCTGACAGTTCTGAGAACGTTATAAACTATTCTGGAATATCAGTGCACGTACAGCCACTCTTAACTGGAAACCGTATTCAATAGCAGAGATGTGCTAAGTGGCACATTTTTGGTATTAGTGAGAGTATCAATAATATGACATGCATGTAAATATGTCAGGAAGAGACTTACTCTGGGACCACTTGCTTTATAGCTGGCTTCACGTAGCCATCTCCTTTAGCTGCAGGAAGTAAGCAAAAAGAATACATTTGGCTGATTAATAGTCCATGAGGAAAACATAGAAATTACAGTTAAATGGTATATGAATAGTTACTTACAGGGATTGCAGAGAACTGGGGTGTAATACTTTGAGAACACTTCATCTTTCGGACGGTCAGGATAAACATAGATGAGATAATTGAGGTCACCCAGTCGGTCCGCCAGCGAACGTACTGAGAAGTCCCGGCTTGTAAAAGGCATCAGATTCCACAAGGCTCTGTCCGCTAGGGATACATACACAGAATGTGGCGCATTAGTGAAAAATAATACAACACAAAGTATAGTACATTCAGAATGAGCAAAACAAGGTACAGAACCCAGAAAAATATATCAGCTGACGATTTAAAATGTAAACAGTACATTCATCCAAAAATTACAATCCAGATGCAGAAAAGCAGACAATGCCACGAAAGTATTCCAAGACAACATTTAACTACTTTATTCTGCATCTGAAAGCAGAAGACGCATTGGCCTGTACACAGAATGAGAGACAACTGGATCTAAAGGATGTAGAGTGCACAAGGGAAAACTGCCTCCAGAATCTGACAGGCATTGTATAGAACGTGAAAACAAGGACTCTTAGACTGCTGCAGAGAAGGGGGAGAGAAAATCTAGGGATCGGTCAAAGAATAAGCCGGGTTGAATGATCTGAGGAGTATAACTTTTTTTTTTTTTACCGCCTAGACAAAAACTAATTCAAGGTAACACACACGATTATTTTGTTCAAAACCCTATAAAAAAGGGGCCTGCAAGCCCATATTATTTGAATGTGCCTGAATTTCTGCATGTTCCTTCACACAGTGCGAGATAAAGGCTTGACTAGGTCTAGGCATGGTCAGGAATCCGCTGCACTAAAAAAGATAGACTTTTAGGCAAAACAGAAAAAAAGCACAATTAGGTGAACAAATGAGTTATGTCAAATTAGTTAAGCAAATAAAAGAACAATCTATGTACAGGTACCCAGGAGATAAGGTGTACAAAGCCAAGTAAAGTATTCGCAAAAGCCAGCAAAAGTGTTGACAAAGGGGCATAGTCAGAGGCATATCTGCCACAAGGGACAACAAGGCATTTGCCACGGACGGCACTTTCTGGGAGAAGGGGGCGGGCGGCAAAAACTGCCACCCCCAAACCAGTGAAGCAGAGCCTCACCTATCGGTGCCGATACTGGCACTTTACATTTTTAAACACAACAGGCTGCTGTAAGGTCCCGCACTTGCTGGGGACCTCATAGCAGCCCTCTGGGGACCTTGCGGAGCTGCTTACTGGTTTGTTCAACCTGCCAGCTAAACAAAAAAAAAGAACCAATTCCTCCATCAATGCTTATGAGCATTGATCAAGGAATCTCCTGCTGCTGGCACAGCCTGAATGCTAATGGAGTAAGATTTTCCTGTGAGAGCTTCTGTTCAACAAAGAACTACTTCAACCTAACTCTAGGTCATTTTTTTCTATACAACTTAGAACATTGCTGTATACCTATTATGTAACATGGCACCTCCAGCTCTGTCCCTCCTATAAATACAAATCAGTAAACTGTGTCTTGATTTTTCCCTATGCTATTATCAGACTCTTGGTATTGCCCTGGGTGATTCACATAACCCACCGCTATGGCATTTTCAAACTGCTCCCAACGTGGGTGGCCCTCTAAAAGAGCAGTCCAGCAAAAGAGGGCCAAACTAATTGCCCAAAACAGCCCTGGAACAACATCAAGCCCAATTCTCCACCACAATGGAAGAAAACGCTTAGCACAAGAGACGGTTTTAGGGGTAAAAGTGTTTGTTGCAGGTGCACCTGAAGCCTCCGAAAGGGGTTCAGATAACAGTGCCGAAGTAGGCAGCTCAGAGGATGATTTGTGGGCACTGAAGAGTGAGACATCCAGTGCACTGTCAAGTTTAAGGCTACAACCAGCACAAGCAGAAAAATAATTCTGCAAAAGGGAGTTGCCCGCACCCAGAAGGCAATCGGCCCTCTTTTTTTATGGCTGAAATGTGCAGAGCAGAATTACAAAGCATTAACACTATTAATCTCACCAGGATGCTGCTTCACAAGCTACACAATGGTACTGCTGGCAAGGCACCATACCAAACCGCCATAGTCACTCAGACTGCTGAAGTGTGGCAATGTGCAAAGCCACATTATTTGAAGAGGTGAGGGAACTGCTAGACTTTCTGAACTCAGTTGACAGATGTTACTTGATAGTAACATTCAAGAATGGGGTCCTTAAATCATACTCTCAACTGTGAATTTCCTTTGAATTAATAAGGAGATACAAATATAGTTATTTCTAACTTTGACATTTGCAGTGTGTTTGCAATGCAGATTTCACACTTCCCCTTTAATTGTTGCGTGTACTTTATTAGATTTAATAAAGGATAGTCCAAAGAAAATTGACCAGGAGCATTTACAAATGGCTGATTACTTCCAAAGCCAATCTCCATGTGGAAAAATGATTTCAGACAAAAATCCTTCAAAAACAGGCTATTACTCCACCATACAGTATGTACATAACCCCTGGTAGACTTGCAAAATCCCCTTAAGTTGGCCCAAGCTGGTTACTCTAAATGCTCAGGGATACTCTGTTATTGCCCTAATGTAAAATATTTTTGGGATAGATGCCTGACAGAAGTTCTAACCTCTCCCTTCTCACAAAAAAACGGTTGGGTTTGGATTCATTTTAAACACCGCAAAAGTGGTTTACACATACATTCTAAACTGCCACAAAATATTCTGTGCAATGACTGCTGGTCATATATCCCCAGTAATAGGCTTTTGCTACTTACCCTGAAATCCTTTTTTTTTTTAAGTTTTCTAAGGGCACAGGATTCAGAGAAAATTGTGTTATACTGCAGCCTACAGGAGAATGTAAACACTGGCAAACAATTAAAAAAAGCATCAGGTATCAGGAGAGGTTCTGAAGATTGGAGGTGATCAGGTCACTGTAGGCAGGCAGTAAAGACCAACCGAGGAAAATCCCTGTGTAACTTGCAAAAGGAGAAGTGGTAGCATTGTTACCTCATGCTGAAAGGCAAGAGGAAGAACGTGAAGTGTGCGCATGTGACACTTCACCTAAGAGATTACATCAGCACTCAATCCATCAGCTTTCATCCTTACCGCAGCAAGCCAATGATAAACATAGGTGCCCAAAGGCCCTATTGATGAGGTAGCTCCCAGTGCTCTGCTCACACCCCCTTCTCACAAAGTGAGTCTTCTGAGACTGGTTCACACCAAAGGTTCTGGACCTGGAAAATGCTGAATGGCTAACTAATGCAGTATATTCAGGTCTGAAAAGTGCCACAATGTGGAGCCCAGTGCCCAAAGGTCACATTCCAGGCTAGCCCCACAGCTGTCCAGTCCAGCAAGGTCCAGACACATCCTCCAAAGCTATTGCTAAGAAAACGCCAATCTGGATAGCTGCACATAGAGACTAGCTCAAGCGCCTTGTGGGAGAATGTTGGTAGAAGAAAAAAAAATGTTGTTTGCCCATGTCCAAATCCTCCTGTAGGCAGCAGTATAACCCAAGTGTCTCTGAATTTTGTGTCCCTCAATGAACAAGAAAGAAAAACAAATTTGCAAATAAAAAAAAGGTACAGTGGAACTCCAAGCAGCAAGCCAGCAACCATATAAACAGTTAAAATACATAATCACTAACTCCTTTACCCACTATAAGATTTACATCACTTTGTTGATTCAGTTTTAAGGCTTCCTGGATCCCCTGTTAAAGGTCAGAGGTGATGATGCTGATCTATAGTTTAGTTTACAAGCAAGAGGTGGAGAGGTCCATAAAAAGGGTGTCACTGGTCTGCTATTGCAGTATGTCAGTGGTGTCTGGATCACAAGTCTAGCTGTACAGAGTTACAAATCCCTTGACAGATAAAACTGTAAACATATTGGTATTTAAATGTGCATTTAGCAGTTTTCTTGGAGTTCTGTTGAGTAAAAACCCACAAGGTACTTACGTAGTTCAAACTTCCATGCTATTGTGATACCCCCAATTTCCGAGTCACTAAAGCGCAGAAGAAAAGTCCCATCCCTTTTGTTCACCAACATGTCATGAGCCTGCTGCTTGTTGACATAGCCTAAAATTGCCCTGTAAAGCAAAAGCATATCAAGAGTTATGACACAACAATTCTTATGGAAACTCTTATCCTACTTAGAAAGAAAAAGAACATGGCAGAAAAAGTCAGGATAAGGAGGTTTGTGTAAACATGTGTAAAGGTTTACTTGCAATTGTCATGACCATGGGGTCCCTGTTGTATGTGCCTATTTATTATATTGTGGAGAATGTGGGAAGCTTTCCTTTGTGTATTACACGGCCCAATATCCAATGATTGAACACATTTTGCGTAATCATTGGGGAATTTTACAACAAGATAGGATACTGGGCCCCATGATCCCTGAAAAAAACCCTTTAATGGTGTATAGGAGAGCGCCATCACTAAGTGATGAATGGGTTCATAGTGTGATGGTTCTAAGTGGATCTTTACAACCTAGGTGTCCTAATACTGAATTGGGTTTAAATATAATTTAATTATGACCACTTATTAGGCTATTTATTGTTATTTTATGTAGAACTGTATCCTGATCATTCATAATCGGCGCCTTGATATTTATTTAGTGTAATATATTTTATATTCATGTTTTAGGATATTGTAATTCATTTTATATGTGTATAATTTGCCATAACTTAGCATGGGTTTGTGTTGCCAATATGGAGAGTTTAATGTTGGGACATCTAGTGGCCATTAGAGAAACCACAAGGGTAGTAATCAGCGCTGTATCTATGGTTTTCATTGAAGTGTTTCTATTGACAGTTTTACACTATGGTATATACAACTTGCGAGTTGTATATTAAGAGTGGAGGACGTTCCAAAATAGAGCGTGGAGCCATTGTATACACAGAGAGAGAACATTGAGGAAGAAATGTGAGAGAAACGGGGAGTATAAAGAGCTTTATGTGACCATTCATTTTATGACCAAATCCTTCTGGTGAGTGCGGGATTAGCGCCGTCTTTTAAGGTGTGCGAGATCACTGAACTGCACGGAACTGAAGACTGTGAATTGGAGCACTTGTGTGGACACTTGTACTTTGTACTGATTATATATACACTGGAGGGAATTTATCAAAACTGGAGCAGACAAAATCTGGAGCAGATCTGCACTGCAACTTGTCAGCTTCTCTGTCATTCTCAAATCTTACCTAAGCAAACTGAAGAGAGAAACTGATTGGTTGCCCTGGGCAACTGCTCCAGATTCTGCCTGCTCCAGTTTTGATCAATTCCCCCCACTGTGTTGTATACTGCACTGGAGTGGACTTGGATTGATGTTTGTATTTGATATTTATTCATGTGTGAGTTCTTATTTGGACATAGGTTGTATTATATTCTAATTACATTGTTTAATGTTCTTTTTAAAAACAAAGATGTTTTGATGAACTAATAAATCTTCTATTTTTATATATAATTGCTCTTGATGTGAAGTTTATTGGATTTGTCACTCTGCTAGCCAACAAAAACCCTAATTTTCTCTTCTTTGCCGTGACATTATAGGTTGTATAGTGATTTATTCATTCGATTTGAATTAATGTGTGCGCAGTGTGATTTTGTTTATTGTGGCGAATGTACCCAAAACTACAAAAGGGGCAGGAACTGAACAAGGTAATTCTATCACTGATGCTCTATTAAAAAAAGAAAGAAAGCCAGGGTTAAACTTAGCCCAAAGGACTACACCTTTAAAGCTGAACTCTAGCAGATATAAAAGATACACATGAATACTGTATTTTTAATTCATGAAGTGTCGGTGCAGGAAGGTGCCTTGGTATCAGCCTCTCGCAGTCCTGTACATCAAAGCTCAGACTAGGAGAGGGAGAAAATTTGTTGTGCTGCAGTGCCCATGTAGTAACAAGGGACATGCTGATAGCAGGAAAGAGCAAAGTGACAGAAAGATGAGCACATCTGCTCAGTCTGCTGCTTCTTCTTTCACTGTCCAGTCACATGGTGGGAGAGAGACAAGACAGACAGAGCTGTGTAAATCTCAGAACTGGATGAACAGAAATACCAATCCTTCGGAAGACAAAACAGCTCCCATATACAGTATGTACTGCTGTGTATTTAGCTGTTTTGTAAGACAAGACCGGCTATTGTATGAATGGCTGGAACTAACAAAGGAGCAAACTTAAAAGCAATTGCATTCAAGTACACAGTAACTTCAGTAGCCTCACTATGTGTCCTGGGGGCCATGCTCACTGGAGGAAACATTGGGAAGCAATTCAAATTTGGTGGCTGAAACCAGAACAGGACTAGAACGGATATCTTACAGTGAGGACAACTGTTCTGGAGACAATAATCAGTGGTGAGATTGAAGCTGGCCATACACCTTACAATTATCTGCAGATTTTCTGTGGTCAGATGGAAAAGGTGCAACAGATTCCTCCATCTACACTTAACTGTGTGGATGGAGTAATCTCCACCTGGGCCAATCTGTTGCACTTTTTCCCTCTGACCACAGAAAATCTGCAGATAATTGTAAGGTGTATGGGCACCTTTACAATGTATTTATGGTTTGTGTCTGTGGACAGAAGGTGCAGGCAATCTCTTTGGACATAGACAGCAATAGATCCTCATAGGGGTTGTACTCCATTTTAACTCTATCCAGGCTTACACTCTACTCTAAAGTGTCCTGCCGCTTTTGTTTCTTTGGAGCAGAGTGCAAGCTAATCTAAACACGTTGGAAGGGAAGGTGGAGGGAGACACAGTGGGGACAGACTTAGTTTCCTCTTATTAACATATAATGAAGAGCACAGGCCTGTCTTAGAACCGTGTTCAAATCTAGTTTCTAATCTACTGATAATGAGATCTGGCAGCACACTACTGACAGAGGTAGTTATGGTTAACATTCCCCCATTCCCCTCCTTAACATTACATAGCAGGAGCAAACTATAGTTTTGGAGAGAAAGTAAAAGGCAAGCAGCAATTTTATATTTTGTTTTTAACGTATACTATGCGAATGAGAACAAGTAACAAATATCAAGTAGGTGTTATCCCAATTTGGTTGCAAACGTGAAGTGCTGATTGACTGACGTGTTTTACCAAGTTACATTAAAATGACCCTAAATAAGTCCAAAAGAAATGCAAGGAAAGTAATGTACTTCAAATGGCTCTGGAAAGGGTTTTTTTTTTACCAGCTGTGCATACCCATCATTCCAGTGAGGCTTGAGGTGCTTCTTTAACACTTCCATCACTCCATCAAACCACTGCCAGAATGTGTAATTCCAACCAGGCAGGTTCTCCTGGGTAAACAGAAAATAAAATATTTACACACAAGTCACGATTGGGCAGCATAGGTCCACTTTAATCTTCACCTGTAGACTGCCTTCCGACCCATATTGGATGGTTAAGAGTTTGCAAACACCTTTCACAACTTAAATAGAAGGTGACATGACACTTTCAGCTAGGATATTATGTTCCAATATATGCTCCATATACTACATTAAGGGGTTCAGACCTGGGTGTTACTATAGGTGCGTTTTTTCAGCTCGTTTTTAGCATGCTCAGTAAAACGCGCGTTCAATGCTCGTTTTTATACCTCCCTGGTGGTATGATTTAAAAAAAAAAAACTTTCAAACTTCCTCCCGGTTCCGCCCCCCTGCGACACGGACGCTCGCAAGGGACGGAACCCGGAAGACGGCAGCGGTCGGAGGACACAGCGGGGATCGCGGACAAGGTAAGACCTACGCTGTATTCCCGAGTGTGGCTCGGGTTACCACTTTGTTAACCCCGAGCCACACTCGGGAATACCAATGGATACGCGCGGAAATACGCCCTAAAAGAAGCTCCTATACTTGTTTGGGCTTAGGGCGTTTCTACACGCTGAAATACACCCAGGTGGGAACCATGCCCATAGGAAATTATGTGATTTCGCTTGCTGAGCGTCTTTCAGCGCTTCGATCAGCGCTGAAAAACGCCAAGGTGTAAAC